GGGGGGGGGGGCATCTTTTCACACTTCTCTCCGGACTCGAGGCCCTGCGGCTCCGTCCACCCCATCACCCGGAAAGCGAGGGGTGGACGCTCTAGAACTGCTCTGGCTGTTCTGAGGAAGACGCTTCAAATGGACACTTAATACGTCACCTTCTGTGTTAAGATTTAGGACAGGGAAGCCCCAGGGTCGCACAAAAGCTGATATCCAGAAGCTGCCAACACCGACTTGAAACAGCACAACAGGGCCCCTCTGGGAGCAGGAGGAAGCCCGTCTGAGGATGCCCCCGGCGGGGGACACGTTCGTATTTCTCACCGGGAGCCAGCAGTACACCACGCTAAGGAGGCGCGTGAGGACCAAACAACCTCAGCGAGGCTGTGAGTGCTGCCCGCCCTGACGCCCCCGAGCACCATCTCATTTTCATTCTAAGTACCGTTTGCACGTGGCCTTGAAGACGGCTGTCGACTTCTTGGATGTTGGTTTCAGGCCACAGGACCTGACCCCACCCTCAAAGCTCCCCTCGCAGCTTCTCAAGCCGCCGGCATTCTGCACCAGCGCTGGCCCCCCGCACACCCCTGCAAGAGCATCCCCAAAGGCACGAGGCCCCGAGGAAGAAGGCACAGCAGGCCGGTGGCCAAGGACACACTGACAGTCACCCTCCCTTGGTAGCTACTGCCCGAGTTCCAGCACATCTGGGACCGGATCACTCATCCCCACCGCAGAACACGATGGCCTGGCCTAGACGCAACTTCCAGATAAACAGTCTGAGAAGGAAATTTTTAAAAACCCTAATTCTGCCAAACATCTACATGATGCAAAAAGCTAGAATCAACCCTGCTTGCAGCATGACTTAGGTAACTAGCAATTAGCTGTGCAGTCCAAAAATCTGATCATAAAATACAAGAAGCAAAACGCTTAACAAACACAACCCCTCTACCCTGGCAAGTACCATGAGAAAGAAAGTTTGCCCAAAGCTTTCTGGAAAGGTGCACGGAGAGGGTTTGCTTCTGAGTCTCCAGCAAGACGCTTTGGGGCCTCCGTGAGACCGGCTTCCTTCCCCAGCCCCCAAACCTGAGCCCAAGGCCACGGAACATGGGCCGTGGCCTGGGGAGGCGCTGGGGAGGGGACTCACTGGCAGCAGCAGCTGCGGAACAAGGAAGGTTGGTCAGTGGACGACCCAGGACATGACCGACCACCTGCACGCTTCACCCCACGTGGCTGCCCTGGGGACCCCCCAGCCACGGCAGCCAGGACCACCCCCCGAGCTCATGGGCATCTGCTGAGGGACACATACCCAGAGCCAATGGTCCTAGGACTTCCAGGCCCCTGGCTTGAGGAGCCCACCAGATCTTAGCAACAGCAAACACACAGTCCGAGCAGGCCTGGGGCTGGGCCACTGAAGTCACCCGGCATCAACCCTGCGACCTGGTCAGCTGTGAACCGCATCACATCCCAGAACTGTGCAAAAGCCCGGGCAGCCTCCCAGGTTCTCCACTTTGGGCACGTAACCACTTTCCCGTTTGGGTTACAACTTCAGCTCCTAAATTCCCTCGCCCTGTGACGTGGAGAGAACACCCTGACCAGCCGGTCCTTCCCGGGGAGAGAAGGATGGATGGATGCATGGATGGACGGATGGACAGCGAGGCCCATCCCCCTGCCGAGGCTCAGCCACTCTCCCCACAGCCTCGCTCCTTGAGGCACGAGCTCCCTGCAAGGTACCCTCTTCCCTGCCCAGCCTGTCCTGGTCCTCGAGGTCACTGGAGGGATGGGGAAAGGCAGGGCGTCTCAGAGGGCTCCTCCCTGGGACCCCTGCACCCAGGCCACGGTCCCTGCCTCCTCTTACCGGGCCTGCTGCTGGTCGGCCTCCTCTCGGCTGGCCTGGAACGAGAGACAGAGCCCTGAGGTCACCACGAGACCACCTCGTACGACAAGTCATCAGGGCAGGGCCCCTGTGGGGTGCGGGGGGCGCTCCCAGGAGGAGGTGCAGCTGACCTGGGCATCCCGGGCCTGGCTCGCCTCCAGCAGGGCCTCGATGGAGCGGATCCTCTCCGTGAGCTGCGAGTTTTGTGCCTTGGCCTCGTCCAGCTGCCCATGGACGCTGCTCAGCTCCTTGCACCTGCTCCTCACCTCAGCCTCGGAGGACTGCAGCTTGCCGTGCAGCTCTGCGAGGAGGGAGGCCGGCGGGTTGCAGGGTGCGGGGAAGGCCGGCACAGGCGCCCCATGCTGCCCAGTGCATGCCCGTGGGCTTCCAGGCACTCCCCTGACCCCTGGGTTTCCCGTTAGCTGGTGGAGAAAGTCACAGCCTGGCTTCCTTCTCAAGGACTCACTAGGGTAGAACAGAACGCCCCTGGATCACTCAGAAAAAGATGGAAAACTGAGTGGGCTCCTGTTGCAGTTTCTAAAACCTTGTTCTCTGGGATATGGGCTCACATCGCTGAGACCAGGGGCAGGGGGGCGCCTCAGCGTGTCCTCCCTCGGTGACCTCCGCTAAGCCCCACCATGGCTCTGAAAGTCCTCCACGTGTGTCTGACTCCAAACGGCGGCCCGGCCCTGGTCTCCTCCCTGAGCCCGGGCTCAGATGCCGGCCACGTCCACACGCAGCTCTGCTCAGGCCTCCTGGTCCCCTCGCTGTGGCTGTTCTGCTTTCCTGTGCCCCCGCCTCTCACTCATCCACCGGGCCTGTGGATCCAACGTCCACTGCCTGCCGAATCCACCAGCACCTCCGTGGCTGCCTGGGCCCAGCCCAGGTGCCTTTGGTCCGACGACTGCAAGGCCCCATCCCTGGTCCCCACCGGCAGCCAGAGTATCCAGAAGTGCAGATGGGATCCTGCCAGCCCTGCCCATGCTCCCAGCGCCCTCATCACTGCAAACAGCTCCTGAACTCTTCACAGGAGGCTGGCCCGGCCCTGCCCATCTGCCCCACACTAGCCACTGTCTTCTCCAGTCTCGCTTGCTGACCTGCATCTGTTTCTTGTACAGGCCAAGTTCAAGTTCACTCCCATTCTCAGGGGCCCCTTCACGGTTTCCGTGAGGCTGGCCTCTTCCCATAATCCAGACCTTGGGCTTAAACATCCCCTTCTCCCCAGAGAGGCCTCCCCTGACCACTCAAAGCCACACCCGGCTCATCATAGCAGGGGTCAGCAAACTAGGCCCTTGGGCCAACCCAGCCCACAACCTGTTCTTGAAAAAATAAAGCTTCATTGGCACGCAGCCAGGCCTGTCTGTCTAGGGCGGCTTTTGCACTGTGGCAGCAGAGCGGAGCAGTTGTGACAAATACCGTTTGGCCTACAAAGCCAAAAGTATTTACTGCCTGGCCCTTCATAGACACAGCCTGCTGTTTCTAGGACCTGCTCTCGGTCACGCTGCCTACCTGAAGTCTGCCGACATGGATCCATCTACTGTGCCCGTCTCTCCTGCCGGAACACGGCCCCAGGCCCGGTGCTTCACTCCCGGCCAAGCCCCGGGCACCCACAGGAGTGCTCAGCCCCAAGCAGTGGCTCCAGAGTACTGGTGAGCCCTCACCGGCACGGTCTGCCCTGCTTCTCTAGGGGCCCTTGGTGCCCTGGGTTTCGTCACCACCTCCCGTTTAAGAAGGTGACTTGTGAGCACAGGGGGACCATAAACCCACCTTCCAAATCTGGCCTCCAGGCCTGACTGGCCTGGAAGAGAAGACCGGCAGCAGCCCCAGGAGCATCATGGCTCCAGGTGGGCCCCATAGCAAGTGAGGCCGAAGGGGCAGCATCTTCCACCTCGAGCCCGCCCTGTATCCCGCCCCACAGGCCACACCCCCACAGGCTCCACCCCCACCCCCATATCCAGCCCCACAGGCCCCGCCCACCACGTCCAGTCCTCCGCAGCCCAGGCTTGGCCCGGAGCACCCCTGGCGCATCCC